GCTGCTAACCGTGTCATAATTGATTTTACAATAACCGTATAATTGTTATTTCGACAGGGAAACGTTGCGCGTCACGTGGGGAATCTAAACACAGAGAGAGAGAGAGAGAGAGTCGCGCAGGTGCGCGGGGCTGCGAGAGGGGCGCGTGGAAAAAAGGCAAAAATTACCGAGGGAGAGCGAGTTAGCGAGAGAGAGAGCGGGACCGCGCCGTCCCGACAGCGAGAGATAGATTGCAACAGCGTCGACGACGACCGTGTCCCACGGCCCCCTCTCCTCCTCCTCCTCCTCCTCTCGCCCTCGCTCTCGCAAAGAAGTCGAGCGTGAGCCGATTGTTTTAAGTGCGGCCGCTCCGCTCGCGAGAGCGAGTTTCGCGCCCCGCCGAGGCGGCCAGTCGCGAGGGATTAGCGGGCCGATTCGTCAGCCCCGTTGAACGAATAATCGTCGTGCTCGTCGCCGTCGCGACGAGTCATCCGGATAAACCGAGCGGAACTTCCGCTCGCCACCTTTTCAGCACCCAATATCCTCTCGAAAGGACTCTGTTCGCGCCGGCTCGCTCAGCAGCGGCGCGTCGATCCGATCGACTCCAGCTCGACGTTCACGTCGCCTCGACGTGCGCTGCCAGGAACATGAAGATCGAGGCAGATTTATCGGACGCGATTCGCTTCGCGTTTTGCAAGAAACCGTCTCGGAGTCGATTCGCGGCTCTTCGCGCGATTTTTCGCGACAATTCTGCCCCCCCCCCCCTCCTCTTCTTCATTCGCCGCGAATTTCGCCAGCGGCCGTTTTCTCAGCGTCATGTTGACACGTCGGTGCTCCTCCTCTCTCTCTCTCTCTCTCTCTTGTCGAAGCCCTCGCGTATCGCGTAATGGCACGCCGGTCCCGAAGGGGTTAAGCGGTAATATTGTTATTGTAGTTGTCGCTATCGCGTTTCGATTCCCCGGCGTTATTTCGAAGTCGCGTTCGGCCCGTCTCCTCGCAGAGAAGCAGAGGAACCAACCGCGGCAAGGACGAGGAAGGGAGAACCGCTGAGCAAGAGGGTGGGAGACGGAGAGAGAGGGAGAGGGAGATGGGGGGAAGTCGCTTTATCTTAATGCCGAAATCGAATCAGCTCTCGCACGGAATTAGAGATGGCATTACGGGGCTATCAGCGCATATGCACTCTCTGCATCGCTGCAACCCCTGCCCGGGCCCGGTGGCCGTGAGGCATGGCCCTTCGTCACAATGCCGCGCGAAGGGCGACAACAATGCCGGCGACGGGGGAAACACGAGAACACACACGTATCGGCTGATATTACCGCGACCCTCTTCGCCCGCCGGAGAGACGGACCTTCGTGCCGTTCTCGCGAAATGCGTCGGCACGCAGGCGGAAAAAGTTGCTCCTCTCGGAGCGAGAGAGCAGAAGAGAAGAGAGAGAGAGAGAGAGAGAGAGAAAGAGAGAGACCGAAAAGAAGACAGAAAAAACAGAACAGGCGCTGAAGGCGTTCGGCGAGCGCGCACACGCGCGCGCGACTTCTCGCCCGAAAGAGAATCGACGAATTAAAGAATTATCGCGCTCGAACGAGATAGCGAAATACTTGATCTCTCTAACCCCGACGGAGTTCTCTTGGCAAAACCCGTCTTTCATCCCGCCACGCTGATCCGGTTTTCCTCCGCCCGGGCGTCCCTGTCTTCTTTTTATCCTCTGTCTACCTCTCTCCCTCTCGCTCTCTCCCCCTATCTCTGCTTATCCATCCATCTCGCTCTCTCTCGCGCGCGCGCTCGCTCTCCCTTCCCCTTTACCCATTTTTAGTCGCGTCGCTTCCTTATAAACTAATTTCCCGCCTCCCCGGCCCCGGCACGGCCGGCGCCGAACAATTGAATTCTCTCTTTCCATTTACCTATCCGTTTGTATCAACATTTACATTTATATTTGAATAATGGGGAAAATAAAGAGGCCCAGCGCCGCGCGCGCGCACGCGAGAGAGAGAGAGAGAGAGAGAGAGAGAGAGACGGTCTCGCGCGTCGGACGTGTTCGGGGCTCGTCGCTATTACATTTTTAAGCGTTCGCTTCCGAGCCCGCGGCGAGAGAGCTTATCCGTCCCCAGTTCTCTCTCTCTCTCTCTCTCTCTCTCTCTCTCTCTCTCTCTCTCTCTCTCTCCCTCTGTACATACATATATTTTTCCCTCTCCGTCTTTCGACGCGGGAAGATGGATGTGCGCAGGGGTTTGCGAGAACGAGTAAAGAGAAACGACCCACGTGCACCCACCGAAAGGTTACGCCCGGGACACTCCGGGAGAGTAGCGTGCGTGATATTTGTCGGCAGGTCGATACGATGCGCCGGCCGTATTAACATTTAGATAAAGCTTATGTTAATATTGTTTCCTCCGGCTCGGCCCCGCGCCGCTGCTCTTTGTCCCTCTCCTCTACTCTCCTCCCTCTCTCTCTCTCTCTCTCTCTCTCTCTCTCTCTCTCTCTCTCTCTCTCTCTCTCTCTCTCTCTCTCTCTCGGAGCACGTCGCAGTTATCTGTTCGAGAAGTCGCAGAGGAGCGCGACGCGCCTTGTCTCGGGCGGGTGATTTCGCATAACGACATTGTTACAGGCGGAAGAGATCGCGCGCGCGCGCGCGCCGCGCGTACCTCTCCCGGGAGAGCGGAAAAATTTCAGGAAACGCGCAGGATACCCGGTGTTATCCGAAAGCGAAAGAGAGCGGGGTGGAAGGGAGGGAAGGAGGGTGGGAGGATGGGAGGGGCGGGAGGGAGGGAGAGTGCGAGAATTCTCCGCGATTTAATATGTTTCACGTTATTAACGCGCAGTGTAAATAAGGCGATAATTACACGTAATAAAATAAACCGTTCGATTAAACGCGGCCGTTGTTAAATACGACGAAAATAGAGGGGCGCGGCGTGCGCGCGCGCGTTTTGTTGTCGGCAAATTATATTTTGCGTCGAATTTAACGCGAGACGTGTCTCTTGCGGCATTGAATTATCCAGCGCGGCCCATAACTTATTCAAATCCAATTCGCAAAGTACACAAATTATTATTAATGCACACGGATATTTTCACGCGTCACTTTGCGCGCCGCGCGCGCGAGCAGGAATTCAAGAACGCGTCGGTAATAACGTTACGCGCCGCGAACGCCCGCCGGAGGAACGTCGCTCTCGCGACTCGCGCGACGGATAATTTATGTGGAAAAACAAGTGCGGAGATATAACGCGACGCGAATATAGCGTAACGCGTAAGCGATCGTAAGCCGATCGAGGCGCAACATCGGTCAGCGGCGATCGGGGCGCGGTGAGAGCTGTCCTCCGGAAGTTCCTCCGGAAACTCGTCCCTTCGTACCGTGAGGAGACCGAGAGAGAGAGAGAGAGAGAGAGAGAGAGAGAGAGAGAGAGAAGGAGAGAGAGAGACGCTTTGCGATTCCGCGCGGCCGATTGCGCGCCGGGCGCTATTAAACCGCGGACAAAGTGTCGCGACACGGCGGCGGCGCTCATGGCGGCGGTGCTCATGGTGGCCGGTGGGTGCCTCGCTCGCGGTACACAGAATATCGTGGGTCGTCTTTTATGGGCGAGGCGTGTCTCTGGCTCTCGCCGTGGCATTATGGGGAAACGTTAACTAGTGATTTACCGGCGTCATGTGCGCGCTCGCGCGCGCGGATCCCGGGATCGCGGCCCGAGGCAACGATTTTAATGTCGTTTACTGCGGCCTTTATTCCGCGATATTGACAGTCGTGTTAAAACCTCAATATTACGACGTACCGGCCGTTCCTTAACGTATAGAGACGCTCTCTCTCTCTCTCTCTCTCTCTCGCCGCGAGAGCGCCGCGAAATTAAAAGCGTTCCTATCTCTCTCTCTCTCTCTCTCTCTCTCTCTCTCTCTCTCTCTCTCTCTCTCTCTCTCTCTCTTTCTCTCTCGTCTCGTCCGCCGGCGAATCCGCCAGCGCCGGCGCGATATTTATGCATAAAACAGTGAGGAGAGTATCGGGAGGTGAAACGAGAAAGAGACGAAGATCGATGCATCGCGCGGCGTCCACCTCCTTCGGGCTCGCGCGCGTTCCCGACCAATTCATTTGGAAGTCTGAGCGCTCGCTGCACAACTCCCGACGCTCTCTCTCTTTCTCTCTCTCTCTCTCTCTCTCTCTCTCTCTCTCTCTCTCTCTCTCCTCCGACGGAGGATCGATCCGTTCGCTGGCGTCTCTCGTCTTTCGCGACTGTTGCTCGAGCAACGAGGAGAGGAAATCGCGCGCGAGGGAGGAAGCGACGAGACATTCGCTATCGGCGCAAACGACGACGAAATCATCCCGGTAGCGGAGACGACGGCGGAGGTTAAACGCGACGACGGCCGGGTAAACATCTGATAGAGACTTAACAAACGTGCGCGCGCACGGCGGTTAGGTAGCAGCGTGTTAGGATAAAGGGTCCTGCTTTTACGAGGTAGCATATTTCTGGTGCCGCTCCGCGTCGCTCTCTCTCTTTCTCTCTCTCTCTCTCTCTCTCACTCTCTCTCTCTCTCGCCGGCCCACCCACGGCGCGCGTAGAGCATTCAAAATAGCATCCGAAATCATAACGGCCGATTGTCCATGCTCGGGCCGAGTTATGAAGCAGTAAACGCGTACTCTCCTTCCCGCCCCCGCCGGTAGCCCTCTCGCTCTATTTCTCTCTCTCTCTCTCTCTCTCGTTCTCTGTCTCTCCCCCTCGCATCAATATCAGCCCGGCTCTGGCTAGCTTCCGGCTGGCTCGAGTCGTCGCCGTGTAGCCCCGTTTCTCTCCTTTACACGCGCGCGATTCGGTAGCTACGACCGTCTTATGGAATAATTTAGATGATTGCGTACAACGCGTATACGACGGGGAGGCGCGTTTTACGACGGAGCCCGTCGACACCCCCGCGCGCTCGCTTTGTCCAGCTGACGGAGAATATGTCGCCGAGCGATGCGCGTCCCGAGAGCCTGCGTCTTTTGCACGCTCGGCGTAAATGGCAGTAGGGGGAGGGGGGGGGGAGGGAGGGAACGTAATTGATCAACATACGTTTGTCCGCCACCCTCGTGTCTCGTTCTCTCGAAACGTCGCACGCTTCGCAAATGGATCGCGCCGGAGAAATGAATCCAATCCGTTACCTACCTGCAACAGAGAAAAAAATGGTCTCGTTAATTAATTTTCGCAGTTATCAGCGAGTCGGGGTGATTAGCGGTTATGAGTATACGTGCGCCTCTCGCGCGTTCTTTACGGCCGAGGCGAGAAAGCGGCCTATTCAGCGCGAGCAGAGCGACGACGGAATGAAAGAAAGAGCAGGAAGAAAAGAAAAAAGAGAGAGAGAGAGAGAGAAAATAAGTTATTCGATTTGCACAGTCGCGATTGATCGCGAGCACAAAGATAATTCGAGACTCAGAAGACAAAGGCGCGGCGCGGCGCGGCCGGGGGTTGATTTGTGGGGCGCAATCTTTTCCCCGACGCGTCTACCGGCGCCGACACGAAAGAGAGAGAGAGAGAGAGTCTCTCGTCGGCGAGAGAAACTGCCGCTCGTTCGCTCGTTCGCTCGCGCGGTGGATCGATAAATCAGGAAAGCATTAGGCGCCACTTCATATTGGATCCACGATCTCGCTCGCACCCCCTTGACCCACCCCGTGCACCTTGCCGTTTTCTCGCTCGCTTTCTCCTTTTCCTTCCACTTCCCTCCCTTTCTCTCTCTCTCTCTCTCTCTCTCTCTCTCTCTCTCTCTCTCTCTCTCTCTCTCAGGTCTCGCGTACTCTCGTTCTCTCGTTCTCGCCGCGCGATACTCGGGGATTTATACGGGCAATATCGGGGCGGGATTAGCACGATCGGACGGACTCGAGTCATGCTCGTGGCCGATACCACGTGGCTATTAGTGTCAAAATAAAAATGTGGCCGCAATATATGGCGGGAACCGTAAGCCCTCTGTTATTGCTACAGCCGTGATGATAGAGAGACTCGGCCGCGTACTTTGCGCCGAGGAGCGCGACGGAGAAGGAATAAGGGCAGGAAGGACGAGGATCGGTCGGAGAAAGAGCGAGTGAGAGCAGGGGAGGGAGGGAGAGCGGTGAGGAGGAGACGAAGAGAGAGAGAGAGAGAGAGAGAGAGAGAGAGAGAGAGAGAGAGAGAGAGAGAGTGAAGCTGGTCCGCGAGAGATGGGAACGTCAATGTGTACATGTACGCGCGCGTTCAGGCATCTCTCCGCGTCCTCTTCATCAAGGATCCCCCCCTCCCCTCCCCTTTCTCGTCCCGTCCCGTCTCGTTCCCGCCCTGGCTTTTTTATCAGCAAACTTTCAGAAATGAAGCGTCCCCGCAACAACACGCCCGCCTGCAGTCGCTCGTTTCGCTAGCTGGCCGCCCGATAATCAGCATAAATCTCGCCGAGCTCCATTCGGCCTTTTTCTCGCGCGAGCTCCGCGCAATCCCGCGACACCCTCGAGTCGCTACAAACGGCCACGTCCTCCTCCCGCCGTCCTCGCGGCGCGGCGATCGGACGCGCTTGTCGAGATCGATCGATCGAGAGCTCGGCAATTGGGGTTAACGACGCCGGAGAACAGCGAGAATAGCGCGGTGTCGTGAAATCGCGCCGCCGCCGCCCTTGTCTCCTAAATAAAGTAACCTGGGCATCAGGGGCGGCTAGCGCCCGGCTCGGCCAAAGCACGGCGACGAGCAATAAAACGCCCTTCGGCCTCGTCAGCTCGACCGGACGAGCCGCGAGCGCCGGCGCGGGCGGGGAGACAGCCATAAAACTTAGAAACAATTGTCTTTTATCGTTTTGTTGTTATTTAATTTTCTCCCGGATTGGGCAGCGAGGGCCAATCGAGACGTCCCGCGCCGACACCTCGGACCCCCGGTCCTAAATAATTTACGAGCGCACCGTCTGTCTCTCTCTCTCTCTCTCTCTCTCGCTCTCCTCCACGCTCTTCGTCGGGCCACGAGCGCCCGGTAGATTTGCGGAAATCGTCCCGACATTGTTATATCACCCGGCCGCGTCTTTCCCCGTAGCGTTCTCGTGGAGAATTACGACCGAGGCCGGTCCACCCCTGGACGAGAACAAAGTATGAGCCGAAATCCGAGCACGTCGCGGCGAGCGCCGCAAGCAAAGCAAAGCAAAGTAAAGCAAAGCGCCGCCAAACTTCTCAGCAGAAATACTCTTTCCGCAGAGACAAGAAAACGCTGCGCGGCGCGGGCGCTGCGAGTCGCGTCGTGCGCCAGAAGCACGTGTAGGGAGGGGGGGAGGGAGGGGGGCGCACGTTTCCGGCGGTAATCTCGCGGAATCGCACGCGGAAGCACGTGTGCGTGGCGAATGAGTCACCGTCGGTGGATAGATCTGAGTCACGACGCCTTGAGAGAGAGACAAGCGACGATTCGCGCGCTCGCCGGGCGGAAAAAGCGTTTCGAATCGAAGTCTCTCTCTCTCTCTCTCTCTCTCTCGGCGCGGCGCGGCGCGGCGCGACGCGCGCACGTCCCGACGTACAGAGCTCTATTTTTATATTCGCTCGTGCAGGAAGTTGGCCGTGTAGGATGGGGGAGTCCCGTGTATACGCGCGGAGCCCCCAATGAAAATAATTATTAGCGTTAAGTGGACGTCGTTAGCCAGGAGGAGACCGTCGGTGACAGACCAAGAGTGGTTACATCGAATCAGCCGTGCGTGCAACCAAGCTTCGGTACGTGAATCGCGCTCGTCTGTCAGAGGATGCGGATCCATTGACCGGCCAACTAGATTTCATTGCGTAATACTGCGCTCGCGGACGAACGAACGAACGAACGAACGAACGAACGAACGAACGGACGGACGAACGGACGGACGGAGGGACGGAGGGATGGACGGACGGACGGACGGACGGACGGACGGACGGCGCAGGCCACCTATGAAATTGCGTTCGTTTGTTTCGTTACACGAGAGTGGCATGACGTCAAGCATTATTCTCTCGCACTCGCTGCGCGCGCAAAATTGATCAATCGAGCAGAAATTGAATCGTACGACGCGCTGTCGGCGGCAAGAATTCCGCCTTGCCGCGCGTGAAAGCTGAAAAAGCGAGCGGCTCGCGCGACGCTCGCGAGCTCGGCCAATTCTGCGAGCGATCCTGCGAGTTTCTCCGCGCGAGCAAACTCTCTCGGGAAAACGAGAGAGAGAGAGAGAGAGAGAGAGAGAGAGAGAGAGAGAGAGAGGGAGGGGCGGGAGGGAGGAAAGCCTGCCGAGCTGCCGCCGACGCGCTTAATCGCTTTCCACGTTTGTATCCCTCGATACGTTCAACGATCATCTCCTCGCAACGCGTCTTCGGCTTGAGAACCTTGACCGCTCCTCTCTGCAGTTCAATGTGTTTTACGAGTGCACGCGGTTATAAAATACAATATAATTCGCGAAGGAGAGCGAACGTTCGTTCGCAGCGGAGCGACGTAATAAATGAGTCCCACGGGGCGACAGACAAACATTAAATAGGACATATAAATAAACGGTTTATACGCCCGGAGCGATCCTTCTTACTACGAGAGCGTTGCTTTCCCGCTCCTTCGCTTTCACTGCCCGTTTCCGTCTCTCTTTCTCTCTCTCTCTCTCTCTCTCTCTCTCCCTCCGACCGTGGCGCGCGGCCGTCCACATTCGTGAGTTATGAATCGTAAACGCGCGTAGATCAGCAATCTAGGCGGCTCTCACTACCAGGGAGGTTAAAGCGCGCGCGCGTTGTTAACTCTTGACGATACTATTGACACTGCGCGCCGGTGAGCACTTAGGTAGGTTCCGTCAGGGCGCGATCAGGGCCCATACGTCGTTACGACGTCGATCGATGTTACCGGAGGAAAACGGTTCGTCGACCTTCCGATTGCCGCGCGGACAGACGCGCGCGCGCGCCGCTCTTCCGCCCCCTCCTGCAGCCACTCTTGCTTTTTCCTTTTTTCCCCTTTCGCTCGAGGGGGACATTGTAGAATAAATAACAGGAACGGGGCAGCGAGATAAGAGTAATAAGACACGAGCGACGTAATATCGCTGTCTTATTACACGGCGCTGATACGCGCGCGCGCGCGATGCGATGCGATGCGATGCGCCGCGCGCGGAAACACGGCTGTTTTAATTGCGCGAGATGCGCGATTTACATCGGGAGTCACGACTCGGCGGAAAGGCACACACACGCGGAGCGGCGACCCGGATCTGTCTTAATAACGACTAAATTAACGTCATTAATTGCTGTGACACAATGTAGCCGGCTACTTAGCCCCGCGCGCGCGCGCGCGCGCGATTCCTCCCCCGCTGTATCTCTCCGACTTCGCACGAACGTATCAAATTACCCGAGCATACATTTTACGCGCGTTGATACTTCGCGCCAGATTGCTTATTAACTCCCGTCGACGGCTAATTGTCGGTTTTGTTCCTTGTCGCGTGGGGAAGAAGATCCCTCGCTGTAATAGCCGGGCATATACGTTCCTCTCTTTATCAGTTTCCCTCGTTTTTTCTTTTCTTCCTTTTTCCTAGACACGCCGGCGGGCAGCGGCGAGTACCTCCCATCTTTATCGAGAAATGACGAGCCGTGAGTGAATTTTTCGCGACGATCGTCGCGGGGTGTAGAGGACGCGTCGCGATGTAGATCCCGCGCGGATCATCCGCGCTCCCGAGACACGCGATTATCGGGAACGTATTATTCGCGCGGATCTCTGCGGCCACCGCCCGGCGTAATTACGTCGCGCGAAAAGGACGCACTTCCTCAACGGGACGCATTACCGCGGCGCCGTCGCATAAATCGGACCTTATCGCGCCATGGAGGGAGAGAGAGAGAGAGAGAGAGAGAGAGAGAGAGAGAGGGTAGCATTTATTAAAAGCTCTGGAGCAATGCCCTGTCGAGCGTTTAAACGATGACAAAAATGATTTCCGGTAGACTTACATTCCACCCGACGAGTGAAAATGAGTAGCAGCTGTACACTCGAGCTCAGGGGTAGATCTTTTAATTGTCTATCAAATACCAACTTTTCAAACATTCTTTGACCCTTTGCACTCGGAGTGCCAGCACAGCTGGCATGGGCATTTGTTCCAGCAACTCGAAATGCCAGCACAGCTGGCACGAGCATTTCCTCCAGCGACTCGAAATGCCAGCGCAGCTGGCATGAAAAAGATTTGAAGCAGAGATAAGTAATGAAACAATCAAATGTATCACACTTGAAAGAGATACAACATGTAAAATTGTGTAACTTTTGTCGTACAAATTTATGTACAAATGATGAGTTCCAAAGTTGGTGGAAGGAAATGCGGAAATATTTCTCGAGCGCCAACAGGGTCAACAGAAAATCGAGATATCTGAGCTTGACGGTGCCTAACGTGTCAACGCCTCTCATCTCATCTCAGAGCATTACCTCGTACCCCCATAACAACCCAGAAAACACCTAGAAAGACGTTCTATAAAGTTTAGTTCGACGTCGAGCCGGTAGATTCTCGCAACACCGATCTTCAAGCACCTTCCGGAACTTGCGGAAAACCGCCGTCACATGTTCGTGTCGTGTGACACTCGAAAAATTTCAAAAAGACAAAGAGCAAGAGAGGGAGAGAGAGAGAGAGGGGGGCGGGAAGGGGAGGGAGATGCGTTATCTCGGCGCGAAAGATTGTTCAACCGGCGCGCGCACCTGTCGGCCGGATATCTACGGGGCAGAGCGCGCGGCGCTCGTTCCCGAAGGCAATGGCACAGATCTCGCGCGTCCGGAAGCGTCGCCGAGAGTTGACACCTGCGGCTTGAGAACGAACTCGAGGCACGCAGCTCTATTTGAACGGAAACTGCCGGGATATCGCGCGCCGAGCTCCCAGTATTGTGTGAGAGATGGCTTTGTAGTCTGGCGAACACACCCACACGCACACGCACACGCACGCGCGCGAGTCGCACGCACTCGAGAGAATCGCCCGCGCTCGATATCGCGCAGTATGTCGTTTCGCTTTCCTCCTCGTATATTTGTTGCTCGCTCCTTCGGCGGGAGAGCCTATGCAAACGAGCGGGAGCGCGCCGGCGGAAAAGTTGTCGCGGAAATTAACGGGCGAAACACGCGAAATCGCTGCGCGCGGAACGCGGAGCGATTTCGCCTCGGCCGAAGCGGAGGATGGAGAGGGGTGGGTGGTTTCGGCCCACAGCAGGGAGAAAGAAAGAATGTCATAAAATTCATCCAAGACGCGCGACTGGAACACGAGCACGCACGGCCGCGCGTGGAGGAGGAGGAGGAGGAGGAGGAGGAAACGTTCAAGTGGCCGCGCGTCGTGGTACAGAAGGCCGACGCGCCGTCTCTAGCACGCGTGTAAAACTCGTGTAATCTATTTATGTCCTTGGTAAGTTTGAAGCACCGTGTACACGCATGTCGCGTCTGCTTTTCGTCCTCGCCGTGGACGCCGAGAGAGAACGCGATCCTTTCTGGCGCTCGTATCGAAAATCCGGAGTAGCCGCGGCGCCACTCGAGACAACGGCCGCGACTGTCACTGTCAGGGCCCCGAAGGCGCAGGGCCTCCAGGCGCGATAAGGAGACCCTTTTCAAGGGATCTTCGAGCAGATTAAAAAGTCAAGTCTCAGAAACGAGCGCACAGGCTCGAGGCTCCGCTCGAGGAGCCATCGCCGCGCGCGCGCGATTCCGTATGCGCTCGTACGATCGTTCCGTCAAAGTGGAAACGTGTACCGAAGGAAAGAAAGAGAGAGAAAGAAAGAGGGGGGGGGCAGAGAAGGAGGGGACGAATTTCTTGTACGAGAGAGAAAGAAGGACCAATTACACCGGGAGAGGCGAAAATCCGGAAGGACGAAATTAAACGGGCCCGATTACGTGCCGCTCCGCGGCGCCGCGGTTTAAGAGGCTCCTCCCCCCCACTTTCTCCCTCTCTCTCTCTCTCTCTCTCTGTCTCTTTCTCTCTCTCTCTGTCTCTCTCTCTCTCTCTCTCTCTCTCTCTCTCTCTCTCTCTCTGCCTCTTTATCTCGCTCTCGTCGCCGTGTAAGCAGTTTCGCACGATAATTTCTCCCTTGTAAAGAAGGAGGGAAAAAAATGCATCGCCAGCGCAATCTCCCGCTGCCATCGGATTGCACGTAATTCCGTATCATTCTTTCGACCGATGTAATTATCCCCGGACACGCAGTACCGTACGCTTGCATTCGTTATGCGCTTGCGTTTATTATGCGTCGAGAGCGGCGCGATGCATCGCCTCGCAACGCGCTCGGCAACGGCAACGGCAACGGAGACGACGGGCTCGCTCGCTCGCTCGCTCGCTCGTGGATACCTCCGCGTACAGGGTGTCGCAAATATTTCCGAGTTTGTTCGACAAGTATCGCATCTCGTCACGGTCGACGGAGCCGCAGCGACATGAGAACCGAATACGGGAAACGGCGGTGGCGCGCGTCCGTGTCGGCGTAATACACGCTCGCTCGCCGTGCGACAATGCGCCGCGTTGTTTCCGCGTCGTATGTGCGTACCCTCTTCTTCTTCTTCTTCTTCTTCTTCTTCTTCTTCTTCTTCTTCTTCCTCCTCCTCCTCCCTCTCTTTCTTTCTCTTTCTCTGGCGTCCGCGCTCACGCGCTCGCGTCTCTCTCGAGATACTCCTCGAAGGAGCCTCGAGTGCGTACACGCACGTATGAGTACTCCCGGACTCGAGAGCGCGCACGCCACGCACCGGCTCGCGTTACACAAGGAACCACCACCACGGAGGGTAACTTCTCGGAAAGTCGATCGACCGCACGCTCGTCAACGCGCGCACGCCTCTCCTCCGCACCTCCTCCGAGACACATTCCTCGCGTCCACCTCGCGCGACCTCGCATCGCGGTCATCTCGCGCTTCGCGCATCGACGGGCCCATTTCGGGCCCATTTCGGGCCCATTTCGGGCCGCCCTTTCAACGACGCACACGCGCTAATCTCCATTTCCTCTTCGTAGCTTTCCTCGCGAACGACTCGAATTTCGCTGAAGCTCCTCTCTCGTCAGTCAGCTTAAAAAATGTCTCGAGTCTTCTCTCGGAGCTTTTAGCCAGCTCGCTGGGAATTTCTTCTTCTCGGAATCGATCCTCCGCTCGCTCCGGCGAAAGAAGCTGCGGCGACAACGCGCGTAAAATTATCGTCTCACCGGCGGCAACGTTCGCGTTGTACCAAGATGGCCCTCCCACCCAATTAACGGCCGATACCTTCTTTCGCTCCGCGGACAGAAGCGCGTAACGTACCGCCAGTTCCACGTTAAGAGGCCACACACAGACGACCGTTTCGTCTGTGCGCAGGGGGACGTACAACTGCCCGTGGAAATTCGCACGCTCCAAGAAGAAGCGAAGAAGCGCGTCCGTCACGGTTTCTTCCGCGCGATCGATACGAGACGCGCGGCGGGATCGCGACGGGAGCGAAGAGAAAGGCGGGCGGGCGGATAACAGGCGGTGTTAACACGATCGCGCTCATATCGCCGGAATTACACGCGGCAATCGAAGCAGCATAAACTCGAGATGGCCGCACGTACTACGTGCGTACTCCGGCGACGTGCGCGTGTGTGCGCGCGCGCCGACTTACGTACTTACTCGTCCCGGGAGTATTACGTAGCGGGGCTGAGGGGAAGGGAGAGACGCAGGATCCCGCTCCCGTCCCGCTGCGATACGATCCTCATATCTCGGCGGGGCGAGGAGCCTTCAAGATCCTCGCGAAGGGACTTAATCAACGATCCGAGTGTTTATGATTTTTGTTATTGGTGTCATATCTCGAGGCAGAGCCTCTCCCGAATCTCGCGCGCTCCCTTTGCTCTCTCTCACACTCTCTTCCCCTCTCTCTCTCTCTCTCTCTCTCTCTTTCTCTCGCGTAAGTGCCGACCCGGATGAAGTCTGAAATTTAGGGTTAGCTGAAATTGACCGCGCGCCGGACGGCGGACGTTGTTGGAGAAGCGAATCCCGACGATGGTCGCCACCTAAGCCAGCCGACGAGAAAAAGAGAGAGAGAGAGAGAGAGAGAGAGAGAGAGGACGGGGGAAAGGAGGGAGGGAGAGAGACAGCGTCGGTGCCGAGGTGGCACTCGAGATCGTATCGCCGGTTTGATTATTGCTAATGTAATTCGCGGCGCGCCGTTCTGCCCCGGAAAGTTTCACTGCCTACGTAATTACCGAGTTATATCGGACGCAAAATGCGGCGGAGAGTTTTATAAAGCCGGCCGGGGAAACAGGTTTTCGATATCCAATTCGGCCTCGTCGATTTTTTCCCCGCGAGCACCGCGTACAAAAGGTCGCGCTTTGTTCCCGGGGTCATTGTCGCGATTCTCTCTCTCTCTCTCTCTCTCTCTCTCACACGACAGAGAGAGAGAGAGAGAGAGAGAGAGAGAGAGAGAGGCGGAAGACGCGCGAGAGATCGAGTCGCGGAAGAGAATGTATTTGAGGGGGAAGAAGGATGAGCCTGCGATCGCGCGCGAATGGCTCGGCAAATAAGTTCGCTTATCTTTCTGTCTCTCTCCCTCCTCGTCGTTCCCGCGAGTCTCCCTCCTGCCCATGCAGCGCTTCAACTAGCTCCGCTAGACGTTCCGTGCGAGCTGAAGGCGCTCGGTCGTGAACGGCCGTTACATATGTTGTCCATTTCGCGTTCAAACAACGCGGAAACCGATGGATCGTACGTTTCGCTAGGCGCGAGTCCGCCGGCTTTGCCGTCGAATTTCACTCGCTCGCGCCATTTTTCCCGAGACTCGAGTTTCTGCCCTCTCCCTCCGCGCGCGCGCCAAATCAGGCGTTCTAACGCGAAGCGGCGATGATGACGGTAAAGAGGAAGCGGAAGGAAAAGAGCAGGAAAAGGAGAGATAAGAGAGAGAGAGAGAGAGAGAGAGAGACAGAGAGAGGACACGAAATCGCTCGCGTCTCGCTCGAATATCGAGCGACCGGTACTCGGGATTTCACTCGCGATCAACTCGCGCCTGTATCCGATCGTCATCGACCGTAAAAGCGGTACGATGTACGTACCAGCCGTTTGTGTTCCTCCACGCGCACGTCTACCGTGAAGGAAGTACATCCTAGGAGTCGCGAAGGCGCAACACAACACTCGACATATCGGCCGCCGCGTGCTAAGCGCTCTCGCAGTGTTTCGCGAATGGCGTGCTGGCATACTACACTCCTCGCATGTCGGATACTCCTCGCGTCGACCTCTTTCTTCTCCCCTCCCTCCCCCTCCTTCCACCGACCGATAGCCGGGGCCCTCCTCCCCCGCGCCGCAATTTCTGCCCGGCGCGCAACTACCTCCTCACCCGCGGCAATTCGTCTAGTATTTGCATTGCTCGGACACCTTACATCTTCGCGAACACGGTTACAAGACGGCGGCGGCGGCGGCGGCGGCGGCGGCGCATCAAACTCCTCCATGCCTCGGCACAGCGTTTCTCGC